ATATATATATATATATATATATATATATATATATATATATATATATTATCATATATAAAACTTCATGTCGTTGAAAATGTGAAAAAATGCTTCTCGAATATCAGAATAGAAAGAGTTGATAAGATAATGCATAAAATGGCGTTCAGCAAATATAGTTGATGTGCAAAATTTTGTGTCTTCTAATTTATTATTGAAATTACTATATTACACCTCCCGTTTAATTTTGTTTTCCCACTTATTTAAAAATATACTTATTTATTACTTTTATATTATGAAAAAAAAATCTCTTTTAAAAAAATATCATATCGTTAAAAACATGAAAAAGCGCTTTTCAAATAACTAAATAGAAAGAGATGAGTAGATAAGGCACAAATCGCGTTCACCAAACGAGATTTATGAGTTAAATTTCATGTCACCCATTTATTGTTGAAATTATTATATTACTCATTCCGTTTAGTTTTATTTGTCTACTATTTTAAAATATATTTATTTGTTTCAGTTTGTTACATTTATAATATCAAGAAAAGATATTTATTTTATCTATTTAAAAAAACATAATGTCACTGAAAACTTGAAAAAATGTTTCTCCCATACCTAAATAGAAAGAGTTAAGAAAATAAGGCATTAAATGCGTTTATCAATGCGATTTATGAGTAAAATTTTGTGTTTTTTTATTTATTGTTGAAATTACTATATCACTCCATCTGTTTAATTTTGTTTTTTCACTATTTTAAATATGTTTATTTATTTTATTTATTATTTTATAATATATAGATATTTTATCCTTTAAAAATGTCTCGTTGAAAATGTGAAAAATGCATCTCAAATATCTAAATAGAAAGAGGTGATAAAATAAGGCATAGAACGCATGCATCAAATGCGATTTATGAGTAAAACTTTGTGTTATCTCATTTGTTATTGAAATTACTATATTATCCCTTTAGTTTAATTTTATTTGTCAGTTTAATTTTATTTGTCCACTGTTTTAAATATATATTTGTTTATTTCATTTATTACTTATATAACATCAAGAAAAAATAATTATTTTATCTTTCAAAAAACATCATGTCGTTGAAAACTTGAAAAAACGTTTCTCATATACCTTATAGCAATAATTGAGAAAATAAGGCATCAAATGTGATTTATGAGTAAAATTTTGTGTCTTCTTATTTATTATTGAAATTACTATATCACTCAAAGCGTTTAATTTTATTTGTTTATTATTTAAAATTTATTTATTTATTTCATTTATTACTATTATAATATAAAAATATTTTATCTTTTAATAAAATATCATATCGTTAAAAATGTGAAAAATGCTTTTCAGATACCTAAATAGAAAAAGCTGATAAGATAAAACGTGTGCACCAAAATCGATTTATGAGTTAAATTTTGTGGCATCTCATTTCTTGTTGAAATTACTATGTTATGTTTTTCATTTAATATTATTTGTTCATAATCTAAAAATATATTTATTTATTTCATTTTTTACCTTTATAATATCAATAAAAAATAAACATTTTATCTTTTAAGAAAATTTCTTCTCGTTGAATTCTTGAAAAATAGCTTCTCAGATATTTAAATAGAAAGAGATGAGAAGATAATACATAAAACGCACTCACCAAATAATGTGTAAACTTTGTGTTATCTCACTTATTGTTGAAATTACCATAGTGCTCCTTTCGTTTAATTTTATTTGTCCACTATTTTAAAAATATATTTATTTTATTTATTACTTGTATAATATCAAAAAAAGATAAATATTTTATCTCATATAAAACGTCATGTCATTGAAAAAATGAAAAAAAACACTTCTATGATACATGATTAGTAAGAGCTCATAAGATAAGACATAAAACGCGGTCAACAAAGGCGATTTATGTGCAAAATTTTATGTCTTCTTATTTATTATTGAAATAACTATATTACCCCTTCCGTTTAATTTTATTATTTGACTTATTTAAAAATATATTTATTTATTTTATTTATTACTTTTATAATATTAAGAAAAGATAAATATTTTCTGTTATAAAAATGTCATATCGTTTAAAACATAAAAAAAACATTTTTCAAATACCTAAATAGAAAGAGATGAGTAGATAATGCATAAACTGTGTTCACTAAATGTGATTTTTTAGTAAAATTTTATGTCATCCATTTATTATTGAAATTACTATATTACTCGTTCCTGGTTAATTTTACTTGTTCATTATTATAAAAATATATTTATTTATTTAATTTATTACTTTTATAATACAAAAAGATTTTTAAAAAGGTCATATAATTGGAAACTTGAAAAAAGTGCTTTTCTCATACCTAGATAGAAAGACTTGAGAGAATAAGGCATATACATTCACCAAATGCGATTTATGAGTAAAATTCTTTGTTTTCTTATTTATTATCTAAATTACAATATTGCCCCATCAGTTTAATTTTATTCGTTCACTATTTTGAATATATTTATTTATTTCATTGATTACTTTTATAATATACAGATATTTTATATGTTACTTTTAGAGTGTACCCTTGAGTCGTGACATATTGTCTTTGGTACTTTCGTTACATCTTTATTTTAGATTATTTTTGTCTTAAACATATGGTTTATTGGAAACTATCTTTCTACTTCACTATAAAGATAAAAGCAAGATGTGCGTACACTTTATCCTATTCATACACATTCGATACGATAATTGTTATTGTTGTCGTCGTCGTAAATTAGATTATTCAAATGCCTATTTCAATACTTTGTTTGGATAATTGTTACGTATTATTTCATAATATATTATATTATATTGTATCACATTGTATTGTATCATATCATAATATATTCTTCTAATAAATACAATATCGAGATAAAATTATATTATTTTCCGTATTTACATAATGCCATATATTTATAATTTGAATGATAAATAAATCTATTATGAAAAGATAAATATATAAAAAATATAATTATTAAATAATAAATAAAAATAAAATAAAAATATATTAAAATAACGAGGCCAAATCAATTGACCAAACAAGGTGTAAATAAACATGTAATTACCAAGTCCCACCAAAACGATCAATTTGAGCCCCGAGCCATCTTCCTTCATACCTTTTGCTTTCTTCTCACATGTCACCACCAAAATTATCAACCAAAAAAGTCTAACCTCACCACCATTTTTCTACTCAACAACTCAAATTTGCAGACTTTTCTTCACTTACATCAGTAGAATATCAACAATTTCTCAATCGTATTGCGAGTGTTGAAGCCAGCCATTGTAAAAGAATCACAACAGTAAGAGTTTTTTCTTCTTTGATCCGGATCTCAGAAGTATGAGATCGAAAAGGTTTGATTTGGGAATTGTGGATTGAAATGCAGTCAAATTCTTCTCCGCCTTTTCCTTTGATTCCACTTGTTCTCTTCAATGGCGGTCAATTGAGCGAAGGTGGGTTTGAATTATCTAGGTTTTTGTTTTTGGGGTCTTTGCTCTTCTCTCAAGGAGGCGACGACGGTATGGACTTGTCTAAAGTTGGAGAGAAGATTTTGAGTTCCGTTCGTTCTGCTAGATCTCTTGGTCTTCTCCCTTCTTCTTCTGATCGTCCGGAGGTAAATTCTGATTGCCCTCTTTCAGGTGGATTCAGGATTTTAAGTCCTAATTATGTCAGTGAATACATTGAATAATTGCTATTAGCTTTAGGTTGTCTAAATGTTGATCTTTGTGTCTTGGTGGATAGTTTTATTGTGGTGTTGGCTAATTTTAGTTATCTGAATGGTCTAGAACATTGAAATGTAAAATTTTGATTAGAATTAGTTCAATTTTATACCAGGAACCACCCATTGCATAAGTTCTGCCTTACTACTTGTTGCAATTTAGTAGTTTCTATTCATAAATTTATGCTTCGTGTCAAAATTACTTGGTTTAGCTGAACCTGATATCTCTATCTTGCATCCGCGACATCTGAACAACTTTTTTTGCTAATTTTGTATTGGAGGCGTATTCAGGATTTTAAGTCACTGGGCACTAGTATGTGTGTTTGGGCAAACATGTGATCGAACAACTGCTATCAGCTTCTGGTTGTCTATGGTGATCTTTATTTCTCAGCGGGTAGTGTTATTTAGGTGTTAGGTAATTTTGAGTTATCTGAATGGTTTGGAATAATGAAATGTACAATTTGATTAGAATTAGTTTAATTTTGTAGGAGGCAGCTGGTGTTCTAAGATGGTTGAGTGTAAAAAATATAGACTAAAACTTGTCCTTGAGGTGGTTGTGTTAGAAATTACGGTAATGATATCAGAATGGAGTTAACTTTTATGTTGAAAATTGGAGACTACAACTTGATTAAAACTTTAAGCGATTGGGTGAGATAAGGTAGTTATGGAAGTGTTTGAGCATCTCCAAGCTCTTGCTTGCGATAAAAATGCTGTTTTTACCCAGAAGGTCTTTTGTGGTTATTGAAAAGCTTATAGAGCTCCCTGAGATTAGCTACTTTTATTTTTTTATTTTATTATTATATATATATATATATATATTAAAGTTGCACTATAACAGTGCCAAAAAACTTTACTTGGTAGTGGTCTCATTCATGAAATCCTCCCTTTTTTCATGAAAGTAATGCTTATTTGATGCTGGAAGGACCCCCCGCCATACAAAGAGGTAAAAATAAGTAGAGAGCTTAGACAAAATTATGGTTCTCAAAAGAAGATATCAATAATATGCTTATAGGAATTTTGTGGGTGCTCCTAAAGTTAAGCTAATATTAAGACTAAGCTCTAAGTTATACAAAGTAATGTTCCTCTCCTCTGAAGCCTCTCCACATTCCTTTCTCTTATGTTATACACACATGAATGCTAGGAGTGCAATGCTCTTCTTCTCACATGTGGTATACTTCCTTTCTTGGATCATGGCAAGGTAATTTTTTTAAAAAAAACTGGTAACCTTACTCTATATATCCACAGGTATGCTACAACCAAAAGTGTAGTTCCCCTTCAAAAGTATTACAATCTATCATAAGCTCAAAACTATATGTGTTGCCTAACAATCAAGAACATCTAAGATGTCTTCCGTTTGAGCTAATAAACTATGTTTACACCAAAAAAGTAGAATAGAGCTAGACACTTCATTTTGAAACCCTGAAGACTATTTTGTACATTTTCGAAGCTCCTATTGTTTCACTCTTTCCAGATTAATCACCAAATGCATGCTGGGACTCAATCTTCCGTCTCTGCTCCTCCTTTGTAACATTTCCATCCCTGTTTCAGCTACTAAGTACTCCTCTAAAACATCTAGTTTCACCCACCTAATCCTTTTTAGGCTAGCGAACATTCTATAGTTGTTCTGTCCATTTACAATGTAAGAAAAGATGGTTGACTGTCTCAGCTTGTTCCACACACAAATCAAATATTTGAAGCATCAAATTTTATTTTATTGGCAAATTGGTTTTCTTTTAATCATCTGTGCCTGTCAACCACTAATCAAATATTTGAAGCTTTGTTGCACTGGCCAATGGACCCCCCAAAACATTAAAAGATAAGGACCAAAGTTGCCAAGTAAATTTCACTCCGGCCATAAATACTCACAGTTTCTGCAGCACATTCACATAAAAAGCATATGTTGCATTAATTGTGGATAGCATGTTCTATGTGAGGCAACTCATCCAAAGCAAGCAACTTGGGTGGGGCATTAGTTCTCCACAGCATATTCCAAGGTCTCAACGCACTCATCTGATTCTCTCTGCCGCAGGTCATAAAAGGATTTAACAGTAAGCTTTCCTTCTCAATTCATTAACCACCATTGAGAGTCTTTAATACTTAACTTATAAAAAAAGAAAAAGCACCAATATTGAGAGTCTTCTTTGCAATCATTTAGTATCACGGTTGAATTTTGCAGAAATAGACCAGCTTCAGCGATTTCCCAGTCTGAACTGAATATTACGACCAACATTAGACAAGTAATCAGCCAACAATCGGTTATTATTCACAGTAATGCTATTCAGGGTTGGAAAGAGGTCTTTAAGCAGTCCAGCTTTTCTCCAAAAGTCTTTCCATAATCTGACTTTCTTCCCCTTTCCCATTCCCCACCTGTCAGTTTAATTGTATTATTGAATTCTCCCTCCCCACGGATTAACAATCTGCTTCTGGGTATCAGCTCCATAAGGAAAATTATCAGGTTTAGGATCTCTAAAACTGTCTTTTACCATACTTACAGCCTGTTTATATGACTTGTTCAAGTGCTTTTTAGCCAATATAATTTTTGTAGTGTTTGGATAAAAAAGGAAGTGCTTTTAAGTCAAAATAATAAAAATAAGCCAAAAGTCAATCCAAACAGGCTCTTAGCGATAATTACAGATATCTATAGAACAATTTTCATTCATTAAGCCTCTGCAACATTTTATTTCATGCATCCGTTTTGCGTTGAATATTCCTCACCTCAAGGACACCACCTATTTAGCATCTGGTGACTTTTTTTTGATAACCGAGAAATCCGTCTGTGTTCGGCCCTTTGGACCAATCACAACCTTCTAAACTCCGTGGATAATGAGCCCGCTCCTCTACCCTTCTCCACTTTAAAATCAAGCTTCGCTTTGCGTGCTATGGGGCTTGAACCTGCCACCTAAGCCACAAATACTCCGCCTTTTACCACTCAAGCTAGGCCTTGGGGGCTAGCATCTTTTGACTTTTTGCCGATACATTTTTCTAGTTTCAGCATTGCCATCCCACAATAAATTATATTAGCAAATCTACTAAGCTGCTGGATGAGATGAGAGGGGAGTGAAACACATGAAAAATGGTGGAATCTAGTTTCTTCTTGCATATGGTCGTCAATTTGGAGGGAGAAACAATAGATGTTTTGAGAATATTACTAACCCAAGTAAAAGAAAACTGCATTAATACTCTATATTTTTGGTGTAAAGAAGAGGGTATAGATGAAGTAGATCAATCAGTAGATTTCCTAGGTTCATTGTAATTGTGTGATTACTTGCCTTTTTATTTACCGTTCTCAAAAATAAATAAATAAATTATTTCTAAGACTATTTGTTCTCTTCTTCACCTTCAATGGAATTGGGTTAAGCGTCATTAAAAAGGTTGGTATACCTAAGAGTAATGATTGTAGAAATTGGATGGCATGTTATGTACTTTTCTTGAAGGTATCTACTTCTTTCGTATGTGTACACTGTATCTTATGACTAAAGATTTCTTCATCTGTTAACTTTTGGGGTGTAAGCGTTAAAGAACAATAAACATGTTGCATGCATTCTCCCTCTGTGTTTTTTTAGTTGGTAGACTGGAAATAGAAGTGCCATAATTCAGTCTTTTCTTTCTAAGGGATTATGATAAGGTTAACATTTTTTTGCACTATCGTTATTTCTACTGTTATTCTGATGACTATGCCATGAACAATCTTCGCCTTTTTTTTCCCTTTTCACAAGATGAAAGTTTTCCTTCAGGTTCCTGAACGAGCTGCAGCTGCTGCTGCACTTGCACGTGTTCTAGCTGGACTACCTCCTCATCAGAGATACACTCTTTCATCAAGCTCGGAAGAACTGAGCTCAATATATGGGAGCAAACCTCCTGATCAAGTTGTTGAGGAGCTGGAGGAAGAATTCTATGAAGAGGTTCACCTTTTGCATCTTAATAAATATTGTAGTCATATGTGTTTCTGTCATGTACATTCTCTAGTGGATCACTGCAAAAAAGCAATCCCAGAAAAAACAGAAGAAGGAAGATCTAGGTTAAAAATTGACATTGCTTTAGCCTTGTAAAGGTGGATGCTGAATTTTAATTTGATGGGTCCAGCATTTAGGTTTTTATTCCTGAACTTATTATAATTTCAAAATTATGGGTTCCAAATGTTTGAAATTTCTACAAACATTTCACACACGCACTCGCGCTCTCATGCACAGTGGGATGGGAGGGACATGCTAGTGGGAGCTATAATGCTGGACAGAGTTGAGGTTGTACAGATGATGATTTCCCCCATTGCCAGCTTGTTGCAGATCTATTTTTTATTCATCTATTACTTCATTTTATCTCCTTTCTTCCCCTTAGTTGTCCCTGTACTTAAGCAGTTGCAATCCATATGACTACAATTTTTGTGATAGTTCCTGGGATATGTATAGGAATTTGATCCTGTCGGACATATTCTGGAGCATATGCCATCTGAAGAGAGTGAATTAGCTTACTTGGAAGATCAGGTATTACTTCAATTCTTTCTCTTGGGTGGAGGAGGGAGAGATCCTCCATTTGAATACTTGTTATTGACACATTATACAAGTTTGATTGTTGTTTGTTATGTTTAAACTGTATGTCAATTAGCAATACACATCTTTATTTTATGACACAACAACAACATACCCAGTGTAATCCCACAAGTGGATTTGGTTAGGGTAGACTGATAGAGTGTACGCAAACATTACTACCTTGGGAGGTAGAGAGATTTGAAAGTGCAAAAGGAAGATTTGACAGCCCCTTTACAAATGTCAACCTTTCACTAGGAGCTAACAAAGTCCAAAATTGCTCAGTACTAAATACAATGTTAACTTTTGATCCAACAAAAACGATTAACGTTTACTTTGAGAGTAATTTGGACTTGAGATGCCACCAAACATCTTCAGTTCCTCATGTCTCAAACAACAAAAATCACAGCATGAACTATCCTCGAGATATTCTTGATGGCCTTATCAGCTCTTCACAGGCTCCAACTTATTTATGCCTCTCTCAATTGTTGTGGCAAGACCCACTTTAAACCAAAAATACAAAAGAACGTACTCCATAGGTTAATATCCACTGAACAATGTAGAAAATAGATCATTGACACTCTCTAGACTTCCCTTACACATATTGCATCTGTTGACCAACTGAAAACCCCATTTCTTAAGATTGTCTTGTGTTAATGACATGCTTATAGCCACAGAGATCTCCTGTCAGGACATGTTTAAGACCATTAGTTCGAGAAGTCTTTCCCTTATTTATTATATATATTCTGTACCTAGTATAGTATGGAAAGTTCGATCGAGCTCGGTCGAGCTGCACTTGGCTCGATGCATAGTAAGCTTGGTTGGGCTCGGTTCAATAATAGGGTAAGCTTGGAATTGTGCTAATATTTCGTGCTTTTGTACATTTGGTAAGAGTAAAATAGTTGGAGACTCCACTCTGTTTATCCCACTCTGCTTCACATTTATTCATTGTAAAAAGTAGTTGGGATTGTTTGATGGCTTATGAGTTGGTAATCTGCAATGACATGATGGAGCTGGTTTTCTTGGATTTTTCCTTTATTTGATGGAATTGCGTATATGTTTTTTTTGGTCAGCTGCTTTCCTATTTTGTTAACAATTCTCCTTTCATAAGAAACGCAACTCATAGTACAAAAAAGTGTAGAAATCACCTTATATAATTGGCTTTGTCATGGATAAAAGAACGTTGGAACTTTTTACCAATATGCTTTTATAAGATATGTATCAACTGTATAAGTGAATTCTTCATTACTAAAAAAATGATTCTGCTATGTATTAAACTATAGGCCACTCTTAGATTATCACAGCTGGACAGAATTTCTGAGCGCTTGTCTCGGCATGTTATGGAGCATCATGAAGTAATGGGTAAGAGTTGTTCTTGGTGTTTTCCCCCTCAATCTAGTGGAACCATTAAAAGTGCTTGTAGGTTACTGTGGTCTCTGTCTCATCCACATTTGTTTGGTTAATGCTTTCTGAGTATTGATTCTTGATGTTATTTCAGTCTATTTTGTTTATTTAATACTTTTACTTTCTTTGTGCAATAGTAGTTCTATTACTTTGTATCTTGTTTAGATGTGTAAAAGATTAGGAAAAAGGGTAAGAAATGGTGTGTCATGACCAAAAAAAATGACATGATGATACCCGTCTAATCCCACCAAGACAAGTTATCCTAAAACCCAATGATACGAAGAAATGCGGAAATAAACTAAAAATAACACAAGCTTGGAAAACTTAGTCATTCTCAAATACCCCAAAACTTGGTTGTCAAGTGTACAAGCCACTAGTGTAATAATACATAATTTGAAAGATAAATACATTGAGACATAATACCAAGTCTCAATTTATTTATCTTTGTGGGATAAGGCTCAACCCGCCCGACCCATTTCCATCCCTACTAGCTGGAACAAAATCATATTTCACCCACATTCCTCCCCTAATACTTCTTACAATACTGTCAAACAACATTTCCATGTCAGTTTCTTGAAAACATACAAGAACAGCACACCCAATTCCTTTAAATGAACGTTGATGATGGCCCTTTTGTTAGGGTTATTCATTACCCTCACATTCCAACTAATGATTTATAAAAAAATAGTTTCCCCCCCCCGTCCCCCTTCGTTCCCCTCTTCCATACTTACCTTTGAATTGCTTAACTTGTGAAAATTTTATAGAATTACAGAATAACATTATTGATGGAATTGATGTTAAACATTTTACGAGTCCCTAAATAGGAAGTCAGTAGTTCTTTGGTTATTTTCATTTACTTAACATGGGAACTTTTACCTTCTAATTTTGAATTTTTTTGTTATATTGGCAGTGAAGGGAATGGATCTTGTGAGACAACTAGAAAGAGACTTGAAGATTGCGAATGTCATTTGCATGGTAAGAAGCTCATGTTGTTGCATTTGAACTTTGTTGTTCTAGTAAGAAGATTCCTAATTGTTGCAAGCTCTTTCAGTGATAGATCACCTTTTACATGTTTCTTTGTATCAAGATAATACGAGTTGCTTCTTTATAGTTTTTGTAACAGTTTGGTTAGAAACATGATCATCTCAGTTTTCCAAACTTTGTTCTTTTTTGAGTTCTGCAGAATGGTCGCCGGTATTTAACCTCTTCAAGGAATGAGGTTTCAAGGGATCTCATTGTCTCCAACAATTCTAAAAGAAAACAAGCACTCTTGGTACTTTCCCATGCTTATCTCCTTCATAGAGACTGATACTATTGCTCCCCCCCCCCCACACAACACACAACCCCTTTTTTCCTGAAACAAACATATGTATTACCTTTAGTGGTAAGTAATAGAATTATGTCCAAGCAGGCCCATATATTTGTTCCTTACTCAGCAATAATATTCCATGTCATTCCTCGTCAATGGTTAGAATTTCACATTTCTCCTGTTAATGTTTCATATAAGTATTTCACATTTTAAAGTTAGTTTCAAATAAATTGTATGATCTGGTAACTTTTTGCATCCTTGAAAGCAAAATCTTGCTATTTTATGTGTTTCCACCTGGAGGACAAAATTTGCTGGAACTCCCGATGAAATTTTCCACAAGTTCCTCTCTGCTTTCTTAGGACAAATTTAGAACATTGGTACAGTGGTGATATGCATTGCAATGTAATGTTGAATTTGCTGATTGTCCAATTTGTACATGCACACATCGAGGAGAAAAGATACTTTTCTTGCACCAGATGATTGATTGCAGTACCAGTTAAATTAGGTCTTAGACCTAACTCACACCCCAAAAGCTAGCTCAAAAGGAGGAGGATTGCTCAAGCCTTACAAGGAGTCCACCCATCTCATTAACCACCAATGTGGAACTTTGTCATTATTTAACACCCCACCTCACGCCATCTGGTGCGTGAACAATTTAATTTTTGGGGGCCCCAACATTGGGTGAGAACGGGCCTGCTCTGATACCATGTTAAATTAGGTTTTAGGCTTAACTCACACTCCAAAAGCTAACTAGCGCTAAGGGAGGAGGATTGCCCAAGCCTTATAAGGAGTCCATCCATCTCATTAATAATACGCACTCATTCTCTCTCTCCCCTTCTATGTGTGTATACAATACAAATGTACATATGTAGCGGGAAGTGTTTGAAAAAATTTGAATGCAACATTTATTACTCTCATCCCAAAGAAGAAGGTTGCTAAGGAATTGAGAGATTTCAGACCCATCAGCTTAATAGGCAGCATCTATAAGCTTTTTGCTAAAGTTCTAATAGAGAGAATAAAAGGGGGTAATGGCTAAACTTGTGGATTCCAGACAAATGACTTTTATCCAATAAAGGCAAATCATGGATGCAGTGTTGATAGCTAATGAGGCAGTGGATTCCAGACAAAAGCAAAAGAAACCAGGAATACTTGGGAATATCTTTTGACTACAATGGGGAGATTGGGATTTGGGAGGAAGTGGATCCAATGGATCAGACATTGTATCACTACTATGAGATTCTCAATACTTATGAATGGATCCCTGTTGGTTTCTTTAGTGCAGAGAGGGGACTAAGGCAAGGAGACCCTTTGTCTTCTTTCCTTTCCTACTTGCTATGGAAGGGCTAAACAATATGATCAAATCAGCTAAGTGAGGGGATGGCTTAGAGGTTTTGAAGTCAGCAGAACTGAAGTTGATAATGTGGAAACTGCCCATCTACAATTTGTGGATGACACATTGATATTATGTGATGCTGATGAAGGCCAACTAAAGATGTTGAGGGTGTTCTTAGTGTTGTTTGAAGGGTTCTCTGGTCTACACATTAATTGGAGGAAAAGCCACCTCTATCCAATTAATGAAGTACACAACATAAAAATTTTAAATGCGGTACTAGGAGGGGAAATTGGAGCACTGCCTACATCATATCTTGGGATGCCTTTGGGGGCCAAATCTCAGTCATATGAAATCTGGAACAATGTGGTTGAGAAATGTGAAATGAAGTTAGCAAGATGGATATTCCAGGGGTGGCAGGTTGACCTTGATTAATTCTGTTCTTGATTCACTACCAACCTATATGATGTCAGTATTCCCAATTCCCAAAAGTGTAATCACTAGGTTGGATAAAATCAGAAGAAAATTTCTTTGGCAAGGAAACAGTGAGAGGAAAGGCTACAACTTGGTTAAATGGGATGTTGTGATAGTGGGAAAGAAGCATGGTGGTCTTGGAATAAGGAATTTGTTGAATCAAAGCAAAGCCCTTATGATGAAATGGTTATGGAAGTTCAACACTGGATAGCAGACCTACTGGAAGGAAGTCATTAAAGCAAAATATGAAGAGGAAGATAACTGGATTACCTCGTCCAAAGAAGTGACTACATCATATGGGGTTAGTGTATGAGATCCATTAGATCTCTATGGTCTGAGTTTAAGGCGAACACAAAGATCAAAGTGAGGAATGAAGAGAAAGCAAAATTCTGGAAAGAAGCTTGGCATGAGACAGGTAGGCTAGAGGCCTTGTATCCTGATATATATTCTCTAGTATCTCACCAACAGAAGACCATAGTAGATCACTGGACTCCTCAAGGGCGGAACTTCATCTTTAGAAAACAATTAAATGATTGGGAGATTCAAAGGGTAGCAGATTTTTCAACACCATTGGGCAATTTAATGGACTGGAAGGAGGTCAGGACATTTTGTGGTGGAAAGGCAATCGAAAGGGCAGTTTTAAGGTGGGTTGTGCATACAACTGGTTGAACCACACCAATCAGCCTCAAAGTCACTGGCCATGGAGAGGAATCTGGAAGTCAGAAATTCCACTCGAAGTCGCATGTTTTGTTTGGTTGTTAGCCAAAGAGCTTCGTCTATGTTGGCTATTCTTGAATTAAACCTGAGCCTCATGACCCTTTCCTGCATGGGTCCATAACTTCTCATCTTGCTTGGAATTTGATTCGTTATCAAAACAATAGGTACGTTTCTTGTTTTGTTAAGAACCTCTCCGTACTTGGCGTCTAGCCTGCACTCCTGTCCATCTAGTACCAAAAAGCCTATTCCTTATGACTTCTAGGCCTCTTCTAGGCCCACGGAACTCCCTTTGCTTTGTATCTGGATCGACTTAATCAATGAGAACCACCGCGAAATGCTTCTGGCATGCCAAACAAGGTAAGCGATCAATTCTCTTTCCCAAAGTCAAATGCTACTGTACTGAGCCAAAGCTTCATGCCCTTCTTGAATTGCAATCATTGAGTTCAGATTCAGAGTTGACTGAATGGCTTCATCTTAATGAATAGAAGAATTCCCTCTTAGGGTTGGTTAAGGGGGAACTTCTGTCAATTCCATGACTTGACTGACTTCAAACTGGAATGAACCATCCAAGAAATCTTTCGCCCTAAGTAAGGTCTAGCTTGCTTTCTCCCGGGATTCTCTTATATAGCCAACCAAGCCAGGGGAAGGGCTAGCCCAGCTATTCGATTCGAGCTATAGAGAAAGGCCTAATTAGACCAAGGATCAGATAGGCAACTGGGTTTCGGTTTCAAAAGGGAGAAAATATCACTAGAACGAGGTTCAGTTCAAATCGGGTGGAAGAGAGCGGTTTAGTGGAGTCCATTGCATCAAGAGTATAGAGATTGATTGGGCCCAAGGACCCTTTTAGCAAACCAGGAATATAGTTAACAAAAAGGTATCTAAGTTGCTCCTGACTCAAGACAACATAAAGAAAAGGGGGATACCATTATGTTCTAGATGTTTCTTTTGTGGGGAAACTGCCGAGACAGTTAATCATCTCTTTCTACACTGCAAGATCACAAGTCAACTATGGAGGTTATTCCTGAGTCTTTAAGGGTATGTCATGGACCATGCCTGCTAAGATCACAGAAGCAATTTAGAGTTGGGAGGAAGCATGAAAGCAATCCTAGAATAGAGACAGATGGAGAATTGTCCTAGCATATGGTGGGCAATATGGAAGGAAAGGAACTCTGGAGCTTTCAATAGTGTTGAGAAAAGTATGCAAAAAGTCAAACTAAATTGTCTTATGCTACTTTGTTTTTGGTGTAATCAATTATACTTAAATGATACTATCTCCTTAATTGATGTACTAGACTCAATTTAGTAAAAGATAGTAGAATTTGAAGTATACGTTGTAAATACTGATCGGTGTACTGACTCTTGAGGAATAGACAGTTGCCATTTAAAAAAAAACAAAAAAAAACAAATGTACATATCTATACTATTACGAAAGCATGATGCTCCAACATGAAGTTTTGATAATTTTTCCCTTCATGCGTGTATTATATGCTGGATAAAATTGTAGTTATAATTAACTTTAACAATCTTCAGCATTTCCGTTTATTCATTGGATTACCTTTTTAATTACTTAAAAGACCTCTTTATTTCCTTGTATAGTAACACTAGGAATGCGTTAACATTTTAATGATGAGAACAACATTATTTCGTTGTATGCTAACATAATAAAAGCAGTAAATATCTTTTCACAGTTCCAAGTTTTTATTCCCTTGTTGCAATTCCTTAAGTTTGCATTAGAAATGGGAAATATTCAAAGTACACACTTTCTTGTTTTTCTGAATATTTATATTAATATAAGGTGTATACTTGATTATTTTTTCTTGAACATTTAAGTGTGTCTGACTGTCTGTGTGTATATATACGAGTCTTGCTAACCTACTACTACATGAAGGTAGCATTTAAGCATTGTACCCATTTTTTGTTTCTCTTAAATACACCTTATAATACATAGTCAACACATTAGTGAACCGCGTACTTTTGTCTTCCATCTTAAAAAACTAAATCTAGCTTTCTTTCCTCTCCATCAGGTTGCTTTCTACTTTCTAGTTCTTTCCGCCTCCTTTTTTTCCTTTTGCATTCCCATATTGAAATTCTAGGCAATTCCAATTCACTTAAATATTCCCAAAAAAAAAGGAATACAAAGAATGATTCAAGGCCTGTTGATGATTATGGGAAGGAGATTGAAACCCATTTGGTCATATTCTTTTTCTCAGCGAAGAACTATAACTAAAAGAATCCCAGGCATCGAGAGATGAGTTAGTTGGGCCTTCGATTTTCAAGAACAGAGAAAGGCAACAGAAAATAATGGAAGACGAAATAGAAGTGACGGTCCATAGTAGGTTTTATGAATAGTCTATGAGAATTGTTGAATGGTTTTCTTTTGGGGTTATATTCATTCAGTTCCAAATAAGTCCTTGTGCTTGAGTTCATGCTACGAAATTTCACTTTCGACTTTTTCGTTTATAATATTTGACAACGTTTAGTTCAATGTAACATATAAATGAAAAACAAGCAGTAAGATGCGTCTGCTTCTTCAGTGTTAAAATTGTACAAATGCACAGATATAATTTCTGTGAAATTTGAGAAGAGCCATTGTTGGAGTCTTGGAGATAAACTTAGTCATACAGTCCTTGTTTTTCGTCAGAACTCAGAATGGCTATTTAGGAGTGGGAATTCTAGAGAAGCAATGGGAGGATTTTGATGAAAGATAAAATGGCCTTAAATTTAATGTGTTGGCACAATTATAAGGGTATTTTGGTGAATAAAAAAAATGGAACATTGTTATCCTACTACCTTCATGTAGTAGATGTGTAAAGTTGCTCTCCTTTTTTCTTATTTTCAGATGGGGGTGTTCTTATTCATCTCTCTTTGTGATGTACTAGTTTTCCATATAGAGTCTAAAATTCCCTCCTTTTTTCGGAGTGTAATGATTCTTTTAAGAATTGTTTGTCTTTGTAGGATGTTCTTCCTGTCCTGACTGAGCTACGCCATGCACTAGACATGCAATCAACACTTGAAACTCTTGTCGAGGAAGGAAGATTCTCAAAGGTCCATTCAACTTCTGATATTACTTAGGGTAGCATCTAGCATGACATCTTGTGCATTCTTCCGCCTAGTGATATAGTTCCTTCTTATGGTTTATCATGTTTGCTATATGATCATACCATATGTACACTCAACGAACTTGCAGGCATTCCAAGTACTATCTGAATATTTACAACTTTTGGATACACTGTCAGAGCTTTCTGCCGCACAAGAGATGAGCCGTGGTGTTGAGGTAACTAATTGGATCCCTTATCTAAACAAAGAAAAACTTCTCTTATTTTGAGAAACTCTTTTGCATATCTTCTCCTAGATTTTACACTTGTTCACCTAATTTTTCCCCTTCCTCTTCTTTGTGGTTGCTTTTTCTCATCTTTGCTTGTGGTGGTTTTGGACCTTTTCATATGTGAACAACTTGGTCATGCTCTTTGATATTCACAAAACTTTTGCAGGTTTGGTTAGGGAAAACTCTTCAAAAGCTGGATTCACTTCTATTAGGAGTGTGCCAGGATTTCAAGGAGGAGAACTATGTAACTGTGAGTGAATCAGCTTTCTTCACATTATAGATTGGTAAAATATCATTGTATTTATTTTCTTTCCAGGGTACTGATTGGTAACTGGAAAGAGAATGGGGAGACAGACTACTTGTCTATTCAAAATCTATTTTGTATATGCTGTTCTCTCATTCTTCATTCCTTTCTTTTCTCCTTGGTTCTGCTCTTGTAAATGCACAAATGATTAACTGGTCTTTCAATTTCTTGAATCACTGTTTATGTTGGCAAATGCCTTGATATTTCTGTAGAAGCTCTCTCTCTCTCTCTCTCTATCACACACACACACACACTCACTTTTCTTCTGGGGGGGGGGGGGATATGCGCCACCTAAGGAGTCGCTTGGTGAAGGTATAAGGATAAGAATCCCAAGATAAGATATGGGATTATTTTATCTTATGTTTTGTTATATTTTTGTTTCCGGTATAAGTAATCCAAGAATAATTTGTACCACCATTTTACACATTCTATGTGGGATAACAATCTTGGGATAAAACAACCAAATGACAATTATGCCCTTCTCAAAGCTCTTCTCCAAAGTCCATTAAGAAGGCCCAAGTAATAATTGGTAACAAAAGTTATTCCAAGTTTATCTAGTACCAAACCAAACACATTTTTTACATTATAACCTGTATATCCCATTTTTATCCAATGAACCAACAACGACACAATGCCTAGTGAAATCCCACAAGTGGGGTCTGGGAGGGTTGAATGTACGCACTTTATATATCCACAAAATAATCCCATTATTGTTGAATCCTAGTATTATAATCCTGACATTTATAATTTTTTCTCAAACCAAATGACTACTTAAGCTTCTTGCTTCAATTGCTATTGGATTTAGAACAAATTCACTTGTAATATACCTTTTGGTTTGAAAGGAGTACATTTTCCTCTCTTCTTTTAAATTGTGACTCTGGTTCTATTTTTCATTGTTGTGTTTGCACTGATCTCAGGTAGTTGATGCTTATGCACTAATTGGAGATGTCGCTGGCCTTGCTGAGAAGATACAAAGTTTCTTTATGCAGGAGGTTCTATCTGAAACCCACTCAGCGCTGAAGACTACTGTACAAGAGGTGTGTTGTATTCAGTTTTGGGGGATATATGGCTAAAGTACTAGGTATACAAGGACTAGAGTTAAGCTTAGTTTGCATACCATTTTTGATGGAGGAGATTTGAAGAAAATTGAATTTTTTATTTTATTTGTTTAAAGACAGCTCCTCTTGTTGCAGGATCTGGATAACAACAATGTGAACAGTTCTAGGTACATATTTTTCATGCCTTTCTACTTCCTCCACTAATTGTGATTTTCTTCTCAGTTCTCTCTCACTCTTGATTTGTCATTTGTGTCCCATTTTTTCAGGCTCACGTATAGTGATCTGTGCACTCAGATACCTGAATCCAAGTTCAGGCAATGCTTGCTAGCAACATTAGCTGTACTTTTTAGGTTGATGTGTTCATATCATGCAATACAGAGCTTCCAGCCCGAGGATAAGGTGTGTATAGTGATGATTAATTGTTTACTCCATGACAGGTTTTAAGTGCTTCATGTATGCCTTAGGTGTATGCTTAGACAAAGGGGAGCCTTGGAGTAACGGTAAAGTTGTCTCTATGTGAACTGTAGGTCATGGGTTCGAGCTATATAAGCAACCACTAATGCCTTAGGGTAGGCTGTCTACATTGCACCCCTTGAGGTGTGGCCCTTCCCCAGACCCTGCGTGAACGCAGGATGCTTTGTGCACCCGATTGCCTTGGATGTATGCCTTAGGTCCAAATGTATAAGTTCTATTAGTTCATGGTGACTGTAGGTGTACCTTGTAAATTATTCCATCTCTGCATGGTATTCTTTCCTCTGTACTTGTGGTTTCTTTTGGGAAGAATGGTGTACCATACCATTTTTTTCTTTTTAATTAAAAGTAATCATTTTAGCTGCTAGAAGAGTCAAATTTTCCTCAAAGTTTATGCCTTTCCATAGGTAATGGTATCTTTTCTTATGATGACAATTTTGCGTGGGCAGCACCCTCTTTTCTAAAATCCCATTACTTCACCTTACTTGTTTCAAGATAAGGTTGATATATACCATTTCAAAAAAAAAAATAAAATTTGCTTGCTATGTGATGCTTTGTTGGTTTTTCCTTCGTGAGTCTGACTTATGAAAGTTGCGTGAATACTGAATAGTTATCCATTTTCTCTCTGTAGAAGGTTTATGGTCCTGTCAGGTTGTACCTGAAAATAGAATATTTATGGTAAGAGTTCAGTAGAGAAGCTATTCCAGAATGAATTTTGATGAAACAGGCTTGAATTTTAGTTAGTAACTACGTAGACTATTATGTCTGAACTACATTAGAATAGCTCAAGCCTGCAGAACACTTCCTTAAAACGAGCAGTCTGCCTCCTCCCCCTCCCGGATATATTAAGTAAAGGTTAAGATACAAGACTAGGAATTGTTGACACATTAACCAAATTTTTTGTGATTGACAACAGGAAGATATTTCGTCACCAAGCACAGAGAGAGCGCCAACTTTAGCATCTGTTGAAGACCCACCAACTACTTCTGTTGCTTCATCCGACACTGCCATGCACGGTTCATCCAACATAAATTATAGGGTTGAAGAGGCAAGGGATGATGGAAGTACAGCATCAAGCAGTGGATCCCCCTGGTTTCAGCTGAGGAAAGATGCTACGACCTTTGTTTCACATACATTACTTAGAGGTCGAAAGAATCTTTGGCAACTTACAACAAGTCGTGCAGCTGTCTTGCTTTCTTCACCGGCTATTCATTCAGCTAGCATCCATCAATTCTTAACAACTTATGAAGATTTAAACATTTTTGTGCTGGCTGGGGAAGCTTTTTGTGGAAGTGAAGCAGTTGAGTTCAGGCAGAAAGTGAAATCTGTTTGTGAAAGTTATTTAGCTGCTTTCCATCGGCAAAATATATATGTAAGTTAGACTTATACATGCGTTTATACCAAGACTTATACATGCAATTATACCAGTATTATGCAGAACTGTTTGTATTACGGCCCCAGGGGTGGGGGATGAGAGTTGTAATGAATGGTCAAATAGTTTCATGTTAGTGATTGTTTTTAAGGGAAGAGGCAACGCTTTTCGTTGAGATTTTATTAAGTCGCATGTGTATAATAGATAGCCCTGTGAATTGGTCTACGTCTGAGTACTTCTCTTTCTTGGAAGAATGACCTGTGGAAATTCATGACAAAAAATATGGACTTTTATAGTGTCTGGAAGATATTTCTTAGACCCTCAATTTTCATGTAATGTTTTTTGTTATTTGCATAAAATATAATTGTTCAAGCCTTTTTTTGCCTGAGAGTCATTTCTGCAAGTTCATCCATGAAAGCTCATCTAAGCTAGCAGTCAGTTACACTTTATTTGTTAGTATTGTAATGACAGTGAAAAATTGTGCTTGGTGATCTTTGTACTCAACCTCAAATTCATGAAAATGTTCATCATCTGTACCGGGGCTTGTGTTTGGAGAAATGGGGATCGGTTATGCAACCTAACTCATTTAAGCTTGTTCTATATGAAGTCATTGTCAGGTTTAAATTTAATAATATGAACATTAAAGACCCTTCATTATCTGGAAAAAAGAGTTATCCTATCTGTATTTTACACCTCTAGGCTCTACTCAATAAGATTTTAAAAATCATTCCTCATACAGGCTCTCAAGATGGTGCTGGAAAGGGAGCATTGGCTGATATTGCCGCCAGAGACGATCGAAGTAGTAAGCTTCGCTGGGCTTGTCGGTGATGGAGCAGCTTTGATAGTTTCATCTGAGACCTCTCCGAATACTCGACTGCTGCAAGAACGCAAGCCTGTACATCCTATCCAAACTAAATCCTCTAAGAGAAATGGATTTTCAAGTTGGCTTAAGGGTGGAAATCCATTTCTGCCAAAACTAAATGGTAGTTCCAGGGAAAACTTGGAGTCTTGTTTGCCTAATGGATCTGCAATGCAAGAAAGTGGAAACTCCAATGAAGATTCTTTGGATAAGAGTTCTTTGAGAAACAGTGATGTAAATCATGTCAATGGGAATACTACTTTATCAGAAGATGAAAATGAAGATCTTCATGCTGATTTTATTGATGAAGATAGCCAACTACCTAGCCGGATTTCTAAACCTGGTCATTCAAAAAGTCGTTCTTCACATTGGAACAATGAACAAATAAAAGAGCAAACAGGATCATCACTTAGCCTCCTGAGGTAAATACTGCTCATACTTGGATATGCTGATGATGAAGAATTCTGTCAAGCTGAATATTAATGCAACACAGGTCACTGGATAAATATGCAAGGTTGATGCAGAAGTTAGAGATTGTTACTGTTGAGTTTTTTAAGGTACTTTTACTGCCTTTGGATGTCATTTATCTCCAATTAGATATTTCTTTCTGTCTGGTGACTTGCTTTCATGTTCTTTTCATCCTTTTTTTAAACAAGTGGTTTCCTCAACAGGGATTTTGCCAATTGTTTGGGATCTTCTTTCACTTCGTCTTTGAGACCTTTGGTCACCAAAGTATTCATCCAAGTGGAAAGGCTGTGACTGACACGCTGTCGCGTAAGTATTTGTACTCATTCACTTCCTCCAACACTCTCAAAAGGAATTACTTGTGATTCATTCTTCTATTGCAATTTTTTCTTTCTTGTAAATTTTTTACCTCATTCATTTTCTTGTATATTAAAATTTTGGTCTGCCTTTTACCCTTTATAAAATACCTGTTTCCCTCATGGTCCCAGATAGACTGAAGACTGCATTATTACGAATAACACACGATTGTGACCAATGGATGAAACCCCAGTCTCAATCATTTTCTTCCTCTTCTCCCTCAAGCTCAAGTACATCATTTTCTCACATGGATGTCACTCCTACCAGCCCACCAAGTTACTTAACTGGTGCATCCCTGGGACTGAAGGTACTTACTTCTGTACAAAAGTAAGGTTTACGGGATACGTTTTTTTCCAAATATCTGGTCCACTTTTATGATACAACTGTACTTGTACTGGTATTGGTACTTGCTTGGTCACTGATCTTTCTCCTCAATTCTTTGCTTGTGGGTTTGGGATGTTCTCCTGAGTCCTGAGAATACAATTGAACTTTTACTTTCATTTCCATTTTAAACCCCATATTGTTGTCCAATCTCCAATATTTGGTGTGTCTTGATATGTCTACTTTACCTTTCCACTGTGTTTAAACTCCTACAGGCTTCATGTTCCCTTCAATTGTCAAATGAACGGCAATGAGTAATGATGTGTTACAATTTACTTCACTTGTGTAGTCCTTCCTTATAACAGGCTTAAAATCATGAAATGGTATTGATTTGGAAGCAGAGTTAACTATAAATGGTCATAAAAACTTAATATGTTCTTGCGAGAATACAACTAATGAGCATACACTTCCGTCTTGCTAATTTCATGTCCGTCTTAAAGCTTCATCATCATGTTGTAATATTTGGCATGCCTTGATCTGAATGCTTCACCTTTCTTCACAGTATGTTTATATTACTACAGGCTTCATTTTACCTTGAATAATGATGTGTTATAATCTACTCCATTCATCTGTGTGGTCCTTCCCTAATCAAGAGCTGTAGAGCATGAGAAGTTATTAGTTTTGGTTTTGAATCAGAGTTCAACTAAATTTATTGTTTAAAAACTTTATGGAGTTAAGGGTGCCATCTATAAGGCATGGTGTAGAAGTATTTTTTGTTAGTTGTTTTTCGGCTGCTAGAAATATTTGAAGACTTTTTCAACCATATCGGTGCAGATTTCTTTGATTGTCTGATGCTGACCTGCTTCAGTACAATAAATGCTGCCTTGCCTAAGGCTAAACTAAGTTTCAAATCACCAACCCTCAACTTGAAAAGTATGAATCAACAACAATCAATCAACTGTGTGTTGATAAAATAATGTTGGGTTGGCTCTGTATCCATTTTGATCTTTTCAGGTCCATTTTGTTTCAATAGTAAATAATTTGTCTTTTAATGCTAGCAGGAGGTTCTTCCCCCAACGCTTTGGTTTAGTGGTAAGAGTACGTGATGTGTGGGTTAGGCACAACATAGATTTAAACTCTGCTGTGGACAAAAGCCTGGTATTTAAGCGGAGGAGGGTAGAGGGATGAGACTAGTGTTGTGAAAGGCGCTCGCCTTTCGCCTTTGGCCATAAGGCGAGGCGAGGCGAGGCACTTTTGCCTATTTACCTTGAGGCGAGGTGAGTTGAAAATGGCGAGCTTATGGCGCCCTTTGGCGACTTTCTGCGACAAGGTTGGGCCGCCTTTTTATTCTTTTTATTTTTATAATTTTTTAAAGGTCTGATTTATAATTAAAAGCCAAAATTAGGGTTTTTGGGGAACATTCCACATTTTCGATTGCCTCCTCTTCTCCTCAGTCGCGAACCCTTCGTGTTTGCCTCCTTTTTGCAAACACCGACTTCACGACCTTCTTCTTCAACTGACTTCGCGGCTACTGCTTCTTCGCCGCTTCGTGACTGCTGCCATCTACGTTTCTTCTTCTTCAGTTCTTCTCTTCTTCTTCTCTTCTAATTCTTCTCTTATTTTCTTCTTCTTCTTCACTTCTGTGTTTTTCACGCACTACTGTGCTCTGTTTTCAGTGTGGTAGGAAACAGGGTTGTTCACTCACTCGGTGTTTTGTTCACTATTAGTTTTTAAATTTAAATATTTGTTAATATATGTTATTGCTATTAAGATTTTGGATATTTATATGTGCAATTAAAATTTTTAATTTTTGGTATTAATTGGCGCCTTAATTCAAAAAGGTGAGTGCCTCGCCGCTCGCCTCGCCTCCTGGCAAGGCAGGCCCTTGTCGACTTTTGTCACCTCTCGCCGTCCAAAACACTGGATGAGGCCATTATCTACCGAGCTTCAAACCTCCACCTGTCCGCGGGAATTTCTCGGTTATTAGAAACACACTATCAGGAGGTTCTGTAAAACTAGATGCTCTCTAAATCTCAAACTTATCCCACAGATAAACAGGTCTCTAACTTGAGTATCGAGGCTCACAGACATTGAACCTTTGCAAGTGTAGAGCCTGAATATCAACTGCTTTAACAGCCTATATAAGTGAAGCAAACTATGGCTAAATATGACATTTCCCTTTGCTGATGTTTGAATCCCACAATAATCAAGCATATTAGCTACTGCCTTATAATATTTTCTTGATCTAGCTTTTGGGATTGAGTTAGACCCTAAATTTATTTTTTTAGCATATTAACCAATCAGACAGTTTCTAGATCCAAATCTTTAATCTGTCAAGTATTTCCATGTGCTTGACTGAAGAAAAAAAAAGAAGAGAATCAGATCAGCATATGAGGTGTGTTACAAAATTTAGAGAAATTACTGCCCAATACCTATGGGCCATCTAGTTTACAAAATATATTCCCAGTGTATATGCATACTTTATACTTATATACATATAATATACATACTTATACATACCTATACATATAATATACATATGTATAGACACCATACACATCCGTATGTTGTGTATACGTCGGCCATTTTTGGTAAACAAGATGTCCTTATCGTATATATTGGTAACTATTCCAAAAATTAAAGTATCCCTTTTCTAACAATGTAAGCTTTGGAGAGTTATGTTAAAAAATAAAAAGTATCCCATCTCTACCAGTTTAAGCCTTGAGACTACGTGGTAATGCAATTCAAAAGGGTGTTAGAAGTGTATGGGCCGTGGTCTCGTTTGCATTAAGCAAGCCCAAGGTCCACTTTCTTAACAACTAATTTGTTTTAATCTAGTATTTTGGGTAGGATTATGCATTTTTATTGGGTAAGGGTGAAACAATCACAAAGAAAACCATAAAACTCTCCTCTAGGAATATTTTATGAATGTAGTTTTTGTCTCTCCTTGCTTTAGCAGAATGCACATCATCTGCAGATTGTTGTTCTCGTGTACAGCTATTTTATTTAACAGTTCAAATCTTTGATTATGTTGAATGTCTATCAATATTGCTGCAGGAAAGATGTGCAGGTGCTGACACTATATATGTTGTTGCTCGGGTATTACATAGATCTAAAGCGCATCTTCAGTCACTGCTTCAGAATAATGCAGCACTGGTTGAGGATTTCTATGTGCATTTGGTATGTCTTTTTCAGACTTCCGACTGTTGTAAGATAATTTCCTAGTAATTGTCCTGATTGTTGATGTATGTAGAATTTTGTAGTGAGCTATTGGTTCACTCTGTATGGAAAAGTGGTGTAGGATTCTGATAAAACTAACACAGCCACGCAAAAATGATAGGCATGATATCATTTAATGTACACATGAATAGTATAAGCAAGCATTTAATTGGTTCTTTAACGTATTTGTATGTGATAAAGCAATGAAATGTTGTTGACTGTGTCAAGTTTGATCAAAGGACATGCTTACATTACGTTATTGTTTGATTTCATACTTACAATTTAGAACAATTAACTGATGAAATGTTTCTTTCTTGTCTTACATAGGTGGATGTTGTACCGGACCTTGTTGATCATATTCATAGAACAACTGCTAGATTACTTCTCCACATAAATGGGTGAGATATATATCCTTGCTCTATTATGTTTTGATAACTGGTGTACCTTGCTATTACGAAGGTGAATGATGTTGATACACTCTTCTTTAGGAGTAGCTGTCAATCGTGATGTATGAAGTTTTTGTGCTTTAACTGTCTGTATAGTTTGAATGGTGTTTTTTTTTCCTCATCTTGTCTCTTTGGTTTGCACTGGAATTTTAATAATGAGATGTGAATAACCAAAACTCTATAATGGGAATTATTTAGCCTCTATGGAAATCTTGACTTCTGAGTGTCTGTAAAGCGCTTCTTCAAGTGATGGATCTTTATGTTTTCATGCTGTGGCTGAATCCCTCTTCACCTCCAAAAAAAGTAAAGAAAAAGAAACGTAACTTTTGGTCCCTAGAAAATGCAGCAAAACTCATGAAAATACTTGGTATATTAATTCCGACTATCAGAAAAATGGGAATTTGGAGAATACAGGGGCATAGTACGAGGACTTATATTACTTGCCAGCGACTGTATTCCCAGCACATGTTGGAACTTGGTTATCTATATATTTGTTGTAGTTAGACTTGTACATTATTTTTCTTTCCAACTTATATTTAACCTAACATGACAATCGCAAAGCTTAAGTGCTTAGAGAAGCTTAAGTGCTTAGAGTAATGTTGACTGGAACTATTTAAGCAGGTATATTGATCGGATTGCCAATGCTAAATGGGAGGTGAAAGAGCTTGGAGTAGAGCACAATGGGTAAGTACTGAAGTCTTCTTCCTTTCAGAATTCATGGAATGGTTACTGAAATCTAGCTTTTATATGTTTTTCATCGTAATTGGACTGCGTGTAGAAAGTGTTAAATAGTGTGGAACATTGAGGATGGTAAATATTCAATAGTTACCGAGAAAATAGCTAAGGCAGTACAGGAACTTAATTGTGTTATCAAGGTTGGATTTAATCGCGCTTAAGATGGAAAATGTGTTCGATGTGCTATACAGAGAATTGAGAAGGCTGAACTTTTAACATGTTTGTGTCAGAAACTTGATAGTTTCCATTTTTTTTCACTTTTCTATATTAAAAACTTGCCATCGAGCATATTAAAGATACTAACACTTGCAAGGTTTAGAATATGTGAGAAAATATATGTTTAAATGTTCTATTACTATCAAAGACACATAAAATATTACCGTCTGACATTTTTGTGTATTTTAACCTTTTTAGTAACTGGCTACCTCTTCAATTCACCAACTATATATATTGCTGACTCTATTGTATTTTCACTATTTGAGGAATTTAAAATTGCTCCATTCTCTGCAAATCGTTTGGAAAAAAGAAAGAAAACAAAGGAAAGGCTTGTTAACCTGATGATTGTATTGTTATGGTATTGTTGTGTTACTTCTGTATCTTTTGGAGATAGTAAGTTTTCCCATGGTAGATACGTTAGTTGTAGCTCCCCAATGTAGAAACTAAACATATATATTTGTATGAAGTATCATTTTTTTTCTTATTAGTTGCAAACAATTTTGATTCGTATGCAACTATGGTCCCCATCAAGTAGTGGAACTAATACAAACCTAACAAGCTTTCTTAAATGGGAATGCCGATGTAGCACATTATGATCAACATGATTATGCACTTCTCAACTAGCTTGGGGTTGATACTTGCTTGTTGTTTTAAATTTGGTGCTTATTATAACCAAAAAAGTTAGCTACTTTGGAGTTTTCTACTGTTTGATTTCTTGGTGAACTTCACTCTATTTTGTCACAATATACTGATCTTTTTATCGAATTGACCATAAGATTGCCTGCTCTCATTTAGCTCTCTCTCTCTCTCAGCACCTAACCGAAAAGAAAGTACCATCAATATTCGTCCATTTGTCCCCTGGTCTAATCCACTTTTTGTGCTGCAGATATGTAGATCTTTTGCTTGGAGAATTTAAGCATTATAAAACAAGGCTTGCTCATGGAGGAATTCGGAAGGAGGTAATGACCACCAACTGTTAAGAGTTAAAATTGGTGGTGGAACATCATATGTGTTACTCTCTTCGTCCTAACTTATGTAGGCAGTGTTTGATTGGGTATGTAATTTTAAAAAAGAAGAGAAGACTTTTGAAAATTGTGGTCCAAAACAGACATTTGCGTGCTATAAACATCTCATCAAGGGGAAAATTGAAATTTAAAAATTAAATTGTTTCTAAATAAGGAAGTGTGACATTATTTTCTGGGACAAACAAAAATGGGAAGTTTGATAGATAAATTGGGACAATGGGAGTAATATTCAAGCAGCTGCTCAAACATTTTGCATGAATATTATCTTGTTCTTTGGTCAGAATCTGGATAGTCAACTTCCACTCTCCTTTGTAGTTAGAACTTAGATCATTCAGTCATTTCTGAGATCATAAGTACGCTAGGGAAATTCGGGGAGTAAACACGTGAGCTGTGGGGTCTGCAACATTTCATATGAAACTGAGGTCATGGAACTGTCGTTCTATGTTGTTTGCAAATAAAGTTTGCTCCTGCACCTAACACTTTCTTCCCAATCCTCTTTCTTGCTTCTGTTGGTTGAAGAGCCACAATACTGAAGTCGATCAATTTCGATCTCCTTGTCTAGTAAAGGATTAGTGATGAGCTGATATTAAAGATTTTTTTGTTCAACAATATCTCTCATTGTCATAACTTAAAGGGGAAAACCTACAAACATGTTGCACTCAATGTTCTTGCTCTACTGTGACGAAAGGTGTATTATTATGCGGAGAACCTACTCTCCTTGATTGTGTGTGTTCTCATCCATGCATCTTGAAATGAATACAGAGTAATGTCTAGAACATTTTTGAATTGCTGAAAGTTTCTTCAGCATATCTAATTCTGGATTTGTGGATACAGTTTAGAGGTTTTTTTTTTTAACCAATTCTCTTAAATTGATGGAGTTGTCTTAACATGTTTGAAACACCTGGTTTTGTAGTTCATCTTTGACTAAATGTCCTACTCTAGACCTCCTTAGATGTCCTACTGTGACCACCTAAATTAAGATAATAACGTGTTACTTTCCACTCTAGAGGGTTCATGTATTTATCAATGCATTGCATGAAATTTCCTCCATGCTAGAGTAATAGATGAAAGTCTCTTAAGAAGGAGAAGATTGTAATTTTCTTCTGTTCCCTTTTAATATATCCAGGTCCAAGACCTCCTCTTAGAATACGGAGTAGATAATGTGGCTGAAATTCTCGTTGAAGGCCTATCCCGGGTGAAGAGGTGTACTGATGAAGGACGAGCTCTTATGTCATTAGATCTTCAGGTTTCAACTTAACATTATAGGAGTCTCTTTTGCTTCAGTCTCTACTCTGCCTGCTCTAGATTCTAAGTGAAACAGAGTTTGATCTTGATTTTGTTTCAGGTATTGATAAATGGCTTGAAGCATTTCATTTCTGTAGACGTGAGACCTAAACTACAGATAGTTGAAACATTCATCAAGGTCAGTATAAGGGGTCTTGTAAGAGTGAATTATCTCAAAAAAATACACAACAATTTCATTGTTTGCTTCTCGCATTGGCATCTTACCTCCCATCACATTTTAACCATTATCACTACCCTCCATGTATACATGTTGTTTCTTGTGCTTTGATTATCGCATTATTTGGTTGTCATTTACTTCGGTATTTTCCTTTTCAAACTACTTTGATACGCGTTACTTGAGCCGATGGTCTTTCAGAAACAACCTCTCTACCTCCACGAGGTAGGGGTGAGGTCTCTATACCCCACTTGTAGGATTATAGAGACTATGTTATTGTTGTTATTACTAACCTTCATTTAAATTCATCGAACAGGCCTACTATCTTCCAGAAACCGAATTTGTGCACTGGTCACGTGCTCATCCGGTACGGAAAAGCTCTAGTGCAAAATCTAGTAAGTGTTGTTATCTTGACAGCATACTAAGAAGTTTTGTATCTTTCAAATGTTGCAGGAATACAGTAAAAGTCAAATTGTTGGTCTAATCAACCTAGTCTCTACAATGAAAGGCTGGAAGAGGAAAACCAGGTTGGAAGTACTGGAAAAGATTGAGTGATTTCATACTCGAGATACGAGTAAGGGTATCAAACGGGCGTGTCATATTTCCATGGGCTAACTTTGGCACCCTTAGCTGTGAGTATCACACATGTTCAGTTTTGCGCGATGATTTCTTCTTCTTTTTTGTTGTGCAATTGATGTAAATCGGGCTGTCACATTATGTCCAGATTGTTGTAACGCGATTATTTGAAGGTTGTAAATTTATTCTCATTTATGTAACTAATAACATTGTCCTCTCCAAGGCATATAAAGTGTAACCATGACTTCTGATAGTAAGGGACTATCATTTCGACCAGGCCTTCTCCGTGTCGGGGAAAAATCAGATATTTGGTCATTAGAAGTAGTTGAAACAGACACCCAACCACTTCCATCTTCTGAAACAGAACCAAATGGACGTCTAGCTCTAATCTCTTCAATATCTTCATTTACCTGAGGCAGCTCTTCATCTGTAAAAGAACACAGTTAAGAGACACAGATATACCAACACCAAAGGATACAAAAAATCAACAAAAACAAACCTTTGAAATACATTACCAGCTGACTCATCTTCAATTTTTACAGGCTTTTGCCAAACAGGATCTTCGTCAACAACGACGACACCTTTGACATCATTAGGTTTAACCTTCTTCTTCATTGGTGTTACTTTCATATTTTTTTAGGTACTCCTTCAGGGAGGTAGAGGTTGAAGATGGAGCCACCATTATGCTCAAAAATCAAAACTTCCTGCATCAGGAATCAAAGCCAGGTCTTTCACTAAACTAAATCCATAAATCTAATTATCTGACAGACAACACAAGCATTATCTCATACATAAAAAAACTCCAACTGTATTCACTTAGCATTTGGCCATAAATTTCAAAAAGTTAAAAAATGATCAGAAAATCTGACTCATACCAATTTTTGGGTTTTTGAGACTTCCACTTACAAAACTTCAAATTTTAAACTCTTATCCTAACACAAGTTTAAATTCCAAAAATCACAACAAATACTGTTGGTGTGTTGTCGTTTCGCCGGTGATGGCATCACTGCAGCTGTTTGGTGGTGTTTTGGCAGCGATTGTTTCAGGTGGGGAAGGGGAAGGGTGAAAGGGGAAGAGGAGAGAGTTTTTTCCTTTATTTTTTTTAGGGTTTTTTTTTCTCATCCTCTCGCATACTACGATATTATCCACGCCAAAAAAATATGGGCCTAAGTTATGGATTTAGTATTATGGCTCAAAATTTTATAATAGTATTTTGAAATTTTTTTTATATTTGATTAAATTTTAGACTGTGCTAAATTCACATAAATATTAATAAATGTAACAAATAAAATGAAATTTTAAAATAATATAATGAATGGAATTAATTACATGTAAAAAAAAATGCAATTTAATAAAAATAATGATTTTATAAGAAATAAACAAATATTTAAACGTCTGACTGTAACAAAATAATATAAACATAACAATCAACATGAGACACAATATTTTGAAGAAAAATAATGATGAGTTTTTGGAGTTTGTAAAGTTTGAGCTTCCCTCCATTAATGGAGTGAAAAATAGAAATAGAGGATCGAAAGAGTGAAGAAAAGAACAGCAAGAGAGATGGAGATGATGATTCCGGGTCGGTATAGAGAACGGGTTTGGGTTTCCGGATCGGAATTGGATTGCTGTAATGGCTTTGATTGGAAGAGAAGGTTCAATTTTTAAAAATTTGTGGGTTGTTTACACGAAGTAATTTTATTCTTGCTCTATTTATTTGTTTTGCTTTGTTGGTTGTGATGTTCACTTAGTTATATTAATGGGTAACTTCATATTCATAGTTAAGAGTTTATAATTTGTTTGCGTTCAATTCTTTTAATGATTATAATTATTAACTAATTGGTTTTAGTTTTATTTTTGTTATTAGTAAAAATGATACACATGCTATTGCTAGAATCCTTTCTTTTGTTCTTTTGTGTCACTTTTATCGTATCTTATCTAAGTTTTCAGATTTAAAATTTATATGCTAGTATAATATGTATGGTCATTGTGTTTATTGGTTTCTTCATTTTTATTTTAGTTTTCCTCATTTTTATACGGTTTTTCCATTTGCATATGTTTATTGATGTTTCATTAATTGTTTCGTCCCTTGTATTGATGTTATATTACTAGAGGACTAATTTGAAAATTCTTGATTTCTTATGAGTTGTTTACTTATTCTTTTTTAAGTGAGTTATGTGATATTCTTGTTGTTAGCTTTACTATGATATTAGTTAGTTAATTGTTAAATTGGCCCCCAATATTAAAAGAAGGAAATTTAATTAAAGTTAATATTTTTATTGTTAAATCTGGCCAATGAAAAATCCATCCATCGAATTTAGAGCCTTTTCCATTTTTAAAGACGTAAAATTTTTAGTTTAAGTTCATATAAATTGTTTGTTAAAATTGTTGGAATAGGCTGATGAAGAAATTACCGTCGATTTCCAAGGCCTCCCATGTTAATAAGACGGATTTTTATTTTTTATTTTTTAGTTATTATTTGAGTTATTCATTTTTATTTATATTTATTTGGTACTAACTTTTTTACAAAGTGTTTACAGGTACCCGGAGGTGCTTTTCCTTGAAATTATTCGAATTAAGTTCGAATCATACTTTTAATTCCATTATTTTGTGAATATTGACGTTAGGCAAACTTTAGGCCGATGATTATTATTTTATTGTGTATATTATTATGTTTTTCATCAATTTGAAAAAAAATGAATTCAGTCGGGAATCACAATTGTGGATTTCGAAGGGTTCCTAATCCCTCCCCTTCGGAATAACTTGAACCCTTTAGAATCAAATTGGTTTCATAGACATTTTTTCAATTTAATTTAATAATCGGTTTTCTAGTTTTCCAAAAAAAATTAGGTGGTGACTCCATTTTCCCTTTAATCCCTTTTGATATCCTTTTTCTCATTTTAAAATTCTATAAACTTAAAGTTTTATTTATTTTGAGTCGCCGCGACGTTGCTCCCATTCAAAGGATGTCAACAGTTTGGCGACTTCGCTGGGGAAACCCCATTCATCTTTATGATTATATTCTTATGAGCTTGATTTTAGAACATGTTATCAACACGAATCTCTAGATTCATGTCAATGTATGTCATCCCCTAAATAAGTTTAATTTAATTCAGTAAATGGTGACCAGTTTGATGCCTACTAAAGCCTCTGGCAATTATTTCCACCACAATCCGAAAAGGGGTTCTTATATATTGTTCTTTTAGTGATCGAAGAGGGCAAGTTTCTATTGCTATCAACGTGATTTGATAGGTTTGATTCTCTGGCTTATCATTACTAAAGTCACACTACTTCCTAAGGTAAGGGAAGTTAGTGAAGATTCATTTTTGAATTAAAATGTATGATTAATTAATGAGGTGACTTAGTTGTTTTTTTCTTGTTTAATTATGATTGGATCAAGTCAATCAACCGCTTACTAATTTTTATTTATTTAGTAATTGAGGGAAGAATTAAAGTAAAGGGTATACTACTGACTATTAAGTCTTATATAAGACCTCTAGTAGTACTTAATTATTTCGTGAATTGTTTGTTAATAATTCTTTTTAAATTTTGATATTAAAATATTATTTGTATTTGTATTGTATATATGGATAAAGTAAATCATGATTATGATGTAAATGAAAGGATTAAGTTTTATCGCACCAAGAGGTTAAGACATCAAATTGAGTTTTGATGCACCATGATGATAATGTATTGGGTTCGAGTCACATAGAATTACAAGAGTTCTTACTTCTTTTTGAGAATAGGAGAGTAATATTTAAAGTATTTCAAGAAAAACAAAGAGAGAATGAGAGAGCAAAGTATAATGAGAGAACTTGTGTTGAAAGTGTGAATGATTTATAATGAAAGGAGGGGTCCTATTTATATAGCAAAGAGGGGGAGAGAACATAAGGAAAATAAATAAATTAAGGAATCAATCGATATACTATCTCCTTATTCAAAAAGGAGATTCAAATCAACCAAAATTTAAAAATATCATAAAAAAAAAATATAAGCAAGTAAGAAAAAATAGGAAGAGTAATATATTTCTTCCTTAAATAAAGAAAAGCTAAAAATTAAAAAGTTTTAAGAATATTTCATTACCAAAAATAAAATAGTAAGAATAAAGTTATGAAAAACAATAATATTTTCCCTTAAGTAAAGAAGATCCAAAATTGATTTTTTTTTAAAATGATTATTATTTTACCATATATAAATATATAATATTTAGCAGGATTGGGTTTACGGTAGATGTGTTTTGTTGTTATCAAATATAAGTGTTCCTTCACCTTACTGTGGTTTGTAATTTGATTAGTGATCATTAAATTGGAGAAAGATGGATCGAGCTTAATTCAATCGAACTGTATTTCAATTTTTTCAGATCATATATATATATAAAAAAATCAATTTCTACCTAAGTCAATATGATCGAATTAGGTGCAACTGTACAATAAAAAAATACTTTACTTTTTTCTTGATAGAAAAAAACACAATTTCAATTACTTAATTTATTGTTTGGGTTACATTTCTCATTCCTCTAGTTATTGTTCACCTTTAATTTTTTTGAGTTCCTATTTACTTATTTTTTTGAAACTGCTGGAGATTGGGTGATGCTAGCAATCATATCTAATGCCACACAAGGTTGATCAACTGGTACCTGTTTTCACATAAAATAAAACAAAATTATTTTGATACATATTTCTAATATATTCTAGTACAAACATATCAAACAAATAAATGCATGTATTGTGAAGATGGATAAACTTAATCTGCAACAGTAATCTAACATATAAGGTATGAAAATGGTAGGATATACACAAATTGTACACCGAGATTGTTTCCATTAGATCCTTAAACGAAAAGTCATTGAAATGAGGTATCACAAAAAATATTATAGTAGAATAGAAAAATACAAAGCAAAGTAAAACAATAGATGATAATACACATTTTATCCATGTTTACAAACTATGTTATTTTGGAAATTATAAGTGCATGTATTGATATTTATACTAATGTAAGAAAACATATATCCGATGAAATAATTAAAGTGTGCGTAAACTAACTCAGACACAATGTATCGTCAAAAACTTTACCACCTCTAAGTTAGGTACTATACTTGATTGACCCTACAATAGAAAGTAGGAAGGAACTTTCCATTGTGATACAATACAATTCAATTCAATGTTGTAAGGTCACAAAGACATTAAGAGGATGAAAGTGACATTTCAACAAATATGACTCTGTTCGTTTCAATTTATATGGTGTAGTTTGATTTGATACGAAATTTAAAATTTACT